TTAGAAAAGATTTAGACTTGAAAAGTGATAAGAAGAAGTATTAGAAAGAAAAGATTTTGGGGAGTATCCTCTATTCTGAGAAGGGGTCATCGTCCAGGCTGAGGGTCCTGACCAAGGCGTTGACTTCCTGAAACTACTTGTGCTCGAGTAAGGAGCACACGAGCCGAGGGTCTCGTTGCTGAGAATTTACTTAGCCAGGCTAAGGTATGATACATGAGCGTTGAGAACCATGAAGCGAGTGGCACCTCGTGGATTGGGCCTATTCAATCAGGTTGGGATCAGACCTGTGCCGATCATACGGTGACTAAGATAGAAATAAGTCAGGATTGTTAGAACTCCCGAAGTATAAAGTAAATTATTTTTTTATAAGAAAGAAAAAGAAAAGGAATTTCTTTTAGAATATTCATGAACTGCTGCTATGCAATTATTTTAGAATTGTTCTTAGAAGTTTATGTTTTCCACGCATTCAAAATCTTTATGTGTAATGTATATTTTATTAAAGTTTCGTCCCCTGTCGTCGAAACTCACTAAGTACAATGGATGGTACTGACGTTCTCTTTTGGGAACCTACGTTGGTCTGCGGTACAACATAAGAACCGATTTTGCAGGCAAGCAGGTTACAGGTTAGGACTTCCCTCACTTCTAGTGCTATTGGTGAGCTCCGCTTTTGTTCGTGGAGTACTCCTTTGAGTCGTCATTATTTAGCTATTTCTTTGTTTACTTAGAGAACTGGCCAGGAAATCTCTTGTCCTGAGCAGTGTGATGTTTATTAGTAGAGGCTTCATAGATGCAGTCGATGGGTTAAGATTCAGATGTTTTTGGATAATAATTTAGCAATATTTTAGTGGTTACTACGATAAAGTTTTGGAGTTGGTTTATTTCAGATATTTAAATTAATTGAAAGTATTTTGTTAAAGTTTTGTCTTGTTGCATATAAAGTTTGAGGTTATAATAGATTTGATAAGCGCAAATGGTTCGCTCGGTCAAATTCAGTGATCGGGTTCCGGTCACGACTTGTTCAGAAAATGGGTCGTGACACATATTTTCTTCCCCCCAACAAAGTTGTGCATAATATTAACAAGTAGGCCAATTGGCCGAACAAGTCCAAAGTCTCGTACGTGTACAAAGCTAAGTATGCTTCCTCTAGTTAAAGAAATATAAATAATCTACCTGGGTATTGAGTATAACCATTATAGGAGCAATTCACTTAACAGGCCGATATACTCTAACTATGCTTCTGCTGGTAAAATCAAACGACAGGCATATTACTTTTCAAGGTGCTTTTTTTTTGGAACTTTTAAACTAGTTCAAGTCTTAGTGGAGGGTAAATCAAATGAGATTCTCAGATTAGTAACTAATTACATCCATAATTAACAGAGAAGTTGAAGCTGAAAAAAAATGTAAATCGGTGCATCAGTTTATTTTTTTCCCAACAAAAGTCCACTATTGATGGATGATGGGGTTTAGGCTGGACCCCGAACCTATATATTATCAAAAAGAACTAGTAAACGGTGGAGGATATAGACCATAGCCTTCAGAACAAGATGAAGAGTGACATTAATCACTCTAGTGTACAACTAACTGAAGCGAGAGAGAAAATTTTGGGAAATAATCTCAATAACAAAGGGGTTACAGGTGAAAGTACAAGAGGGGAGGTGAATTGTCGATTTTTCTTTTTGTATTCTAAGTAGTTGATTAGTTTACCAATTAGTCGACTGAAGATAAGAACAAAATAAAAGTAAAGCGGAAATAAAGTGCAGGAATTAAAGACACCAGGATTTTATACTAGTTCGAATTTAATGTGAATCCTACGTCAGTCCCCTTGGGTTGCAAGGGTGCTCTCTTTCAGTATTTGAAGTTTTTCGATTACAAGAGAGTTGATATAGCTTTACACCAACAGCTTAGTCACTATGTCACTTCTCTCTTCTTGATATAATGTCTCACCAGTGTTTATCGATCTCATTTTCTTCTCTCACTAATTACACAGCAGATCTAAAAAGAACTACAATGTTTGTTTGGAGTGAAACAAAAAAAAGTGATAGTGGTTCGTTCAAAGTATGTATGCTTCAAGCCTAGTACAGATCTATATATATTTTGTGAGGAATCGTAGACTAGTACTGATTCTTTCAAGGAATAAGGTGAAGCTTCCGTTGATTTTCCTTGACTTGTGGCCTTGGCAGACTCCTTCCGCTAAGTAGATCTTTCTGTTATTTGAGTAATCAAAGTTGGATCCCTTGATTTCGGGCTTTAACGGCCTGCCTTTGACAGAGGAATCTCCGGTATAGAGCTTCGCAATCTCGTTTTCCTTTAATTTGAGACCTTCCTATAATATCCTCCGTCAATCAGCTATCAAATTGTTGACTGATTCTTCTTTCGGATTTTCGCTACTTCTTCCTTTTTAGCCTCTAATCTTTGATACCTTTCCTTTCCTTTGCTTCTGCAGTTTCCATCATTCTCCTTCCTTACTTACTTCCGTTGAGAGATCTTTTCCGTATTCTTTTACTTCTTCCATACTTGAATGATAGAGCTTCTTGAGTCCTTTGTTTTATCCCTCGTGATCCTGCACCATAGTAGTATGTTATTTTTTATCATTGGAATTTATATTTAAGAACATGGACCTTTACAACAGGATGCTAGACACAGAGTTAACATCGCTATATATTGGTCAGGATTATCTATTGTTAGCATAATTAATAACAAAATGATTTTTCCTTAGTTTTATTCTGATATCCGGGATACCCTCTCGATCAAGCCTTAAGATTGACTAGCGCCATCAATAATAATATAATTTCTCAGGCTTTCCCCGTAATTAGCTAACTGTTCAGCAGCCATATTGTCTTCTATGTGAATATAACAAAATAAAATTACCACGATTAGAGATATCGACAATCTGATCAATGATGTGCCGGATATGCCAAGGGGCCTTCATTTTATAATTAATCATGCTGATAATCAGTTGAGAGTCAGATTCCACAATCACCCTAGATAGTGTTCGGGGATCTACAATTGCATGATACTAGAAATTGTTAGGATTTGCCTGAATTTCTAATCTATTAGGACTCTCTTTTTCGAAGGAATGAAAAAAGACTCCTAAAAGGATTAAATCTCCTTAATATGTCTTATCCTTTTCTTGGAAGACAAGTTTTGCATATCTATAAATTAAGGATTTCTGCTTCTCACAAGAGCATAAACAAAAATATCCACAATGTAGTCATCAAAGAATTTTGTTTAAGGGGAGATTTTTCTCTCGATAGTTTTTCTCTTTTATATTAGTTTTATCATATGTAGATCAATTGACCAAATCATTATAAATTATTATGCTTAGTTTAATATATTTTTCTTTTCATTTGATTTATCGTCCACCAAGCTTTGTGTTATTAGTTTCCGCATGCACCATGTTATTTCGATCCAATTGGGTCTTTTTTTTGACAGGACAATGCAAATTAAATGCCTCACGTATCCAGCTTTGGAAGTTTTTCCACAATCAAATCTTTCCTTTGACCTTAAAATCCTTCCTTTTACTCGTATCTCTTCTTTAGCACCAGCTGTTAAGTGGTCTTCTTTTACGATCGTTACCCTTTTTCATCGTGCTAAATATTCCATTGATAATTGGACGTAACGTGTTTTCCAAATCCCTTACTTTTGGTTATGCTTTATTTAGATAAGAAATTTTCAAAAGATTATATTTGGACTTTTAGCCAGCTTGATTTTCTGCTTAAGAGCATATTAGACCAATTAGAAAAAACACGAACAAACTAAAGTGATGAATAGAAAATAATGAAGCATTCCGCTCGACTAATAAATGCTTATTTTTCACTTTTCTGAGTTGCAAAGAGTAAAACCGAGAAAAAAAGTCGATTGTATAAAAAAAAAAAATCCTCCAAGAAGTTATGCGGGATATCATGTATTGCTGAATACATCACCCACTCTGCATAGATTAGGCAAGGGACTATATGTTTACATCCATTAAATAGTTTGCAAGGGATTCAATGCCAATTTTGATGGAGATCAAATGGTTGTTCATATATCTTTATCTTTGGAGGCTCAAGTAGATGCCCATTTAGTTATGTTTTCTCAATTGAATCTTTTGTCTATCCATTTCCGTACCAAAGCAAGATATGCTTATTGCACTCTATGTATTAACAAGCAAAAATCATTGAGGTGTTTGTGTAAATAGATTAAAATTCCATATAATCACGGAAACTATCAAAATCACAAGAATTATGTGGAAGCTAAAGCTAGCTCCCAAACTAGATTAAGGTTCCTTGTTGGTAAGGCGATCTCAAAGGCAAGTGGTTACAACGTTAGAAAGTATTCTTCCAGACCTAAAATAAATAGATATATAAATTATGGTATCTCTAACAATTTAAAAATTTTAAATAATACATTTGAAACAATTCAACACGATATATAAGTGGGCTAAGTCTTTATTGTGTTTTCAAGTGCATGGTCTAAGAACAGATTAAACATTTTAATTGAAACGATTCACAATTAAAGAGAAGAAGGTGAACACAGCCGCAAATATTGTGGCTAGTCTTGTGGCTTCTTGCTCATAAAATCGATTCAATTAGTTAATATTAGTTACAATTGTAAGGGTATCCCGAAAATTCATAAACAATATGTCCCCAAAAATCATAAGCAATATGGAATGAGATTAGGGACGAGAGGAAGAAGTAACTGAGAAAAAATGATTATGACGTAGCAAATTAATTAAAACATAATAATTTAAATAAGCCAGCAAAAGTCCTGATTGGTAATCTACTTTCCTCCTTCGTACCTTTTTGAAAAATAGGCTGGCATAGTTCATCGCCTTTAGAGAAAGCTCATGAAAGAAAGAAATCTTGTAATCATGTTTTAGGAGGAAAAATTGGAACTATATGGAGAAAAGACAGCGTCCCGATTACGGTCAAGGCGTCAAAAGTTAAAGCTAAAGATCATCTTTTGCATTATTGGCAACATATTGAGCTGTTTTTGTACTTGATAGGACCGCAAACAGAATAAACTCTAATTATCAATTGAACCTTTTTAAGTAGTCAACCATTGCACACAATTTCAACTCATCATTAATTTCACTAAAGTATCTCTCCATTGATTCATCCATTCAGAGCTAGAAGTTGGCAAATTGTGCTTTTTTGGAACTACTTTCTACTCCCACCAAGACTATCATCAATTTGCATTTAGAAACAAAAAAAAAGATACATTAAATTAGATTCGTTTCCTCCTACTTCCAGAAATTTGGATAATGTGAACAACTAAGCATCTGTCCATGCGGCAAAAACTGGGACGTTAGGCCTCAATTGGGCTGATGAGATCCAAGAGGTAATATTAGTTGCTGGACTAGTGATTAGCTTTGGTGCTGACTGAGGCATCGCAAAATGCATGGAATGGCTATTGTTTTTTGCAGGGCTGCCTTCTCGAGAGCTGCCCAGGCTAGTTACTAGAGAAGAAGCATTTGACAAGTGAGTATTGATTCGTGCAGATTCATCCCCCTCTTGTAGTGTAGGTCTCATTGTATTTGTATCAACTCCAACTGCGGAAGACTGATGAAGTGTCATTGTCCAATCTACTACATTTCCACTTTCCTTTTTATTCTGGATGTGGTTTTGATTTGCAACGATTTGATTGGAGATTACTTTGCTTGTTTCTGTGTCTTTTTTCCTCCTAGCCAATTCCCCAGCTAGAAGGGTGTTACTTTCCATTATACGCTCCACGTCATACCTTGATATGTCAAAGTTTGTCACAGCATTTACACCTCGAAATTTAATTGCAGCAATGTCATAGGCCTCTGCAGCTTCTTCTTGGGTACCTATCCGCAAAATTGATCCAAGAGTTTAATAATTTCTATAATCTGATAGTGTAAAAAGACTATCATACCACCTAAATGACACTCAACCGTTCTTAAAAAGTGAGATTAGTAACTTGATATATAAGGCAGATAACATTTTGCAATAGTTTAAAATACATGATAGTATAAAGATTTATGGTGTCACTGTATATAAATTAAATACTTGATCCAATGAGATTGAATCAGAGACAGCTCTGCTGAAAAGTCAGCTAAGTATATATAGGAGCAGTTCTCATACAGGGAAAGTGTATAAAAAGACAAAGATAAGGGAGGAAAAACAGCAGAAAGAGAGAGAACCATATTTAGACTTTAGATTAGGCAGTAAAAAGTGAAAGATTCCCATTAAAAAAAACAGCCTTATGAGTAAAATCCAGCCTTGCTGACAAAAAGTTCTCTACATGCTCTTGTTGCCTCGTGATCAGCCTTATTACCAAGGTTAAGACTTGCCAGTCAATCTAGCTTTTAAGCCATTTTTAAATGTTTGGAGTGTTTGGCAAAAAAGAAAACAGCTTAAAAAAGGTTAAAAAAGACTTAAAAAAAGCTAAAAGTTACAAGTTAGGATATCCTAACTTCTCCATTTTTGGCTTAAAAGCCATCTTATTTTGACCAACAAAATTACTTGTCCCTTATAACTTTTACTAATCCCAAAACTACCCTCATCAAATAAATCCTAAAACATTCAACTACTCCCACTTTCAGTTCATCTTCTTTCCTCTTCTTCTCCTTCATCTTCGAAGGTAAGTTTGTTCTTCTCCTTCATCTTGACACTTTCTGTTCTTCTTTCCCAAACTTTTCTTGTTCTTCATCCTAAAACATTCAACTACTCCCAAACATAGTTTTAAGGCTTTATATTTAAAAACTATATGGTAACAATCTTTTTGCAAGTTTTATGTTTGGTCATGATCAGCTTATAAAAATCGAGGTTTGGCAGATTGTTACATAATAAGCCAGAGGAAGATATAGGTTCTTGATTTGTTTTATGCGATATTTTTGTCTTTTTAACAGAAAAAAGTGATTATAACACTTAACACTTCAATAATTTTTTTAAGTTTTAGCACTTTTATCCAAACAGATAAAAGCTTGTTTATAAAACAAGTTCTAGCACTTAAAAGTTGCTTTTAAGCGCAAGCCATTTTTTTAAGCCAATCCAAACGGGCTCAAAGATAAAAGAAACTTTGCCTTAATAATAAGGAACACTCCTTATTAAGATGTTTAGTTGAATCTATGTGCACACTTTACAAAACAAAATACATATCTGAGATGAAAAATGGAATCACAGAGCAAGTTAATGGTAAAATTTACTCACTAAATGTCCCCAGATAAAGGTCCTTGTTCCCAGCCACTCGGCCTATACGAGCTTGCCATCTTCCGTGCTGATGGTGTCTGCTAAAGCGAAAACCAGAAAAGGGCGATTTTCAATTTTAGTAACAGTATAACTTCATTTCAATATTAAAGTTGCCTACTGAAATTGTAGTGAGTATCAAACCTTGTCACCCCTCGATACATTGAAGCTCCTCTTGAAAAACCACTACTTTTTCTGCAAATATTTGGACAAATCAAATGAATACTGATTTAAGTACAGGAAAGGAAAACGAAATCAAGAAAAGATAAAAATGGATTTTAACACATAAATTGAAACAGCAACAATACCTACCTTCTTAAGTTAGCTACATATTCTTGTCGTGTCATGTTTTTCATTTCTTCAAGCTCTTGTTGATAATTTTCCAACTGCGTTAGAGGTTTTAAAAACTTAAATGACAGCATAAACGAACAAAATACAGTTGATAAATAATCAATATACTACTGCATACCGGGAAATTTATATGTGTGGAGGGTCCCCAATACTTCAGTGCTGCCAAATCATATGATCTTGCAGCTTTTTCTTCCATGTCATACCCACCTAAATTTATTATATTTATGATCATTTGGTTAACAACAAGATAGACATATACACTCATGGCTCAATCATTTCACTGAAATATACAATGTATACAGAAACCTAAATCAAGATTTACCTAGATAGACTGAAAGAACCAACATGCATCCCCAGCGATAATCATGAAGAAGGTAAAAAATGGAGCATTTTTGTATTAGTACATAGACAACTGCTCAGAAGTTGAAAAAGGTAAATCCATTAAAAAAAAATATGTTTGAAACTAACCTTGCCTTCCTTTCCTGCTCTGCCCTTCTTTCTTACAACTGTTGTCCCATAGATGAGCTTCGTATCTACCAGTCCATCTATGCCTAATTCAAATGAAATATAACAAATAAAATCATGGTGTCTGCTCTTTTTTAGTAGAAAAAACATATAAGCACCTATTATAAATTAAATGCCATCAGAAGGAAAAAAGAAACAACAAATAGGATAAAAGTGAAGATCTAACCTAGTGACGCCTCGATACTGTGAGGTTCTTTGGCCAAATGTATCAATGGATTTCCTATGAACAATTTGCTTTTGATTTTCCACCTTCGCAGGCCCTCTTTTCTTTGTTTCCATAGCAATACAATCCGCGACAGTTGGCGAGATTTGTTGTGTTCCAGTGACACAACTGGATTGAGAGCCAGGGCTCATTGATAAGCTAAGTGACTTAAAATCTCCATATGTCATTGCACCACTTGATCCAGATTCACCACCATTATCAGCCATGCATCCTATCATATTCTGCTCCAATGCATGCGCATTTGGATTCTGATAGTTTCTTGACACCCAGTTATTCATTCCAGACATTTCATCAACTGGCATTGTCGGAACGTGAGGATTGCACTCTGTTTTCCCCTGCTCAGTAGGGTGATATAGTTCATGCCCTAGAAATGCTGAGAAATCAGGGTAATGTTGTTGTTGTTGCTGTCTAGAGTTGTCTTGAAAATGGTTTAAGAAATCTTGGCTGTTGGAGGTTTCATTTTCTTGGTGTTGGTTGTAGTAAATGTTGTTGTCTAAGCTGTGAGCCATACCTCCTCTGTTACAATCTTCATAGTGATGGGTCCCTATTGATGCATCACCAAAGAAGTCCTCCAGTTTTGGTGTTGAACTTGCCATACCTTCAAAACAAAAGGATATTCCATGAAAAAAGTAAGAATCCCAAAGTACAAAACAAAAAAAGGACCCCATTTAAAAGCAGGACAAGTATTGAGCTGAAAATAACCTTGTGGTTGTTGTGACCTGTTGAATGCTTTCATAATACATAATGAACCATCAGACTTGAGAGGCATCACAGAATATGAAGAGAGAAAGGCTGCATTGTCACCTTCAGTATTATAGAACATGCCTGGATAGGTGAGAGGGATTGGAGAAAATCTAATGGGGACTGAACTTGGAACATCACTAGAGCAAGGTTGAGTGTGATGTTGATCAGGAGAAGGACCCTCTAAGCTGTTTATGTGAGGGGAAAGTGAAAAACCAAGCCAGTGGCTGTTGCTGTTAGTGTTGGTGCTATTGTCATCATTACTCAAAGACTTCATCTTTGTTGCTATGGAATTGAAATATCCTGACACATATAAAAAGATTCGAGTTTCTCTTAGAGCAAGCAAGTCAATCATTGGGAGACAAATAAATTAATCATACTCCACCCTTTCTTTTGTTCCCTCCATTTGAGACTCATTTTCTACTTTTGTTTTCTAGTTGCAGACTCACTAGGTAGAACAAAATCTAACCATAAACCTAAAAACAAAGTCTTAGACACAACTTAATGGTTGGGCTTTGTGTGTGTGATGTGAGTATATATACACATATATATCACACTGAAAAGATTACCAAGGAGAACAAAGGGAGTCCCTGTAAACAAAAAGAATGAGTTCCAGCAAGGAATGCCGGGCATCGTTCCTGCATTCCATTGGGATCTGTGTTTGAGAAAGACATCTTCTTTTGCTTTTCTTATGCTCCACCCCCTGCTTCCTTCTTTGCTTTTGCTTTTCTCCCTTTTGCTTTGTGTACGACTATACATTTACTGCATAAGAAGACTGTTGATTCGGATCCATCCTTGTGGATTAATGCTTCTACTGTAGATAATGACTATTATATAAAAATGTGAACCAACAAAAGTCTCTTCTTGCTAAACAAAACTGCCACTTATAAGAAAGAAAAGAAGACAGGCGTTGCTGAAGAAAACTGTACAAGTACCAGCGCACTGGTTAATTTAATTGATCAAAGAGAAGCCAAATTCCATCATCTATCTGTTGGAATTTAATGAGTAACAAGAGAAATCAATGGTCATTTTAGTAAATGTGGCAGAGGACAAAAGTGGAGTGAGTGCGGCCAAAAATCTAGAAATATTAATAAGACATGATACAACAATCAATTAGCTGTGCCTATATTACCTTTTACAGTCTTCCAACTGCATCAGGGAAGCTAAGCCTTAGATCTTCACAAGAGGCAGAATTCAGAAACATCTTGTCACTTCACAGAAATCAGAATACTAGTACTATTAATATAGCGCACTAGGCATTTACCTCTGGCTTCTCCAGTTTATGTACAAAGAGAATGGGCGCATGTACAGCACAGTCCACTGTTGATAGGTTTAAAATGTGTTCCTAGGATCTAATCGCTTGTTAATTTATATACCCAGTATGCCTCTTGTGTTTTGTTGATGTGACATTCTGTCTAAAGTCTGGGGTGTTACATATATACACCCCCCTCTTATGGACTCAGTGTCCTTGCTGAGATTTGCCCCATCGCATGGGATTCGCCTAAACTCGGAATTGAGGTTTGCCCCGCCTAATCGAGATTTACCAAAACTCAGTGAACTCTGATCCACCATCGTCAAGGCTGACGCAGGAGTGGCTCTAATACCATTTGTAACATTCCAGTCCTCTAGTGATATTGCCTACTCAAGGCCTAGGACCTCACGAGTTTAAAACACGTCACTAATATCTAACGCTTGTTAACTTATATACAAAGCATCTCTCTTGTGTTTTGCCGACTGATAATAGGCTAGATTCATGTAATTTGTCGAATGTTTATACCCTAACTTAACTATGTTTCACTGTTCTAGGATAGTTAAATGACGATAAATTGGCTCTAATTGTGAATTTCATGTTTTGCAGGAGCAAGTTACACTTATGAGTACTTAGGACAGTGTTTGGAGCTAAATTGAAGCAAGGGAAGCCCCTCGGAGCTGAGTACTGTGAAAGAAGAGAGAAAAGAAGAGCTAAAATGATGACCCAGCTTAGCACGGCCATTAGCGCACCCACTAGCGCGACCGCGCTAGCCCAGGAACTCGAGACAGAATACTATGTTATATGCGCGGCCGAGCTAGTCCAGTTCGGATTATATAATTTTCAAGGGTAAACTTGGAAGTGCAGGGGTAATTCCACTTAACCTATAAGAGGTCCAGCTCACCCAAAGGGACATTATCAAGGTTTTTACAGCTTAGTTGAAGGCAAGGAGAAGCAAGAGGCAAGGAGGATAATTCGACATTGAATTCTTCCTTTCTTCCTTTTATATTTACCATTTATAATGAATTTTGTTGTTGTTAGTATGAATACGATTATGAGTAGCTAAATATTTAGTCTAGGGTTTTGATGGAACCTGTTGAAGGATGAACTTCGCGTTATGTTAATATAGTTTGCCCGGTTTAATCTCTATTTGTTCAACTACGTTCTTGTTGTAGTTAATTGATAGGATCCTCAATTAGTTGTGCCTATTTAGTATGTATTACTCGGGAGAGAGTGCATATTTAGGTAATTGTTGAACAATACCACTCCGAAAGTATATGAGTGATCAATAACCGAGGGTTTAAAGGTGGGATTAGGGATAACGAAACCTTGGATGCGATCAAAAGTGAGCCGTAATAAAAGTCAGCTAGCGTAACTCGGGAGGGTGCGTCTAGTAAATTGTCATAATTACTCGGGAGAGATTTACGGTAGTAAGAGTACTTATGATCGATAGAGACAATTAGGCAATTCTATGCGAAACATAACAGGAAGGGATTCCATCAATAGGGGAAATCATAACCTTAGATCTTTCTCTTATTTGCTTACAACTCAATCATAGTTAGCTGTTAGTTTATTTAACGTCATTCAGTTATAGTTAGTTAAAACATCACCACTTATTATTCAAAATAACTGGGAAGTTGATTACGAAGAATTTAGTGAGTCTAACAAAAGTAATTGGTAGGTTAATTCCCTGAGGATTCGACTCTGGGCTAAATACTCGGATTATATTTGCAGCGACCGTTTTGTCCTTTTTATAAGGCATAGTTGGGCGTGATCAAATTTTGACGCCGTTGCCGGGGAATTAACGGTGTTATCAATTACAGTTGAAAGAAATACAAAAATTCTTAGTGTTGTCAGTTTTCTTTATTTTCAATCTATACATTGAAATTTTAACATTTGTTGACTTGGTTGTACAGGTGCATGCCTAGAAACTCATCGAGAACTGGTGAAGTATTTGAAGTATTATCAGATCCCAGGAAAGTTTTCAAGGCTTTGAATCGGGCCAACTGGAAAAACAAACAACCACAATCAACTGAACAACTCGAACCAGATACGGGGGATAACGTGTTAGACCCAGTTGCGCCAGTAGCACCAGTGGCACCTCTTGTGCCAGAGGCTGCTCTATATGACTGGGCACAACCCACAACAGAGAATTTGTCCACGGCGATATTAGTACCGTAGATACAGGCAGAATCTTTTCAAATCACGAATATCATGTTGTACTTGTTGCAAAACAAGGGACTATTTTCGGGGTCATACATTGAAGATCCTCAATAGCACTTGAAAAATTTCCTGTCGATCTACAAAACTCAAAGCTAGCCTAACGTAACTCAGGAAGGAATAAAGTTGTTGTTTCCATTCTCAGTGACAGGAGCTACCCATACTTGGCTAAATTCGATCCCCATTAACTCCATCATGACTTGGGAGGAGTTAGTCAAGCAATTCGTGAATAAGTTTCATCTACCCAACAAGACTGCTCAGCAAATTGTTGAAATTTTGAGCTTCAAACAGAAATCAATGGAGACACTGCAAGAAACGTGGGAACGATTAAAAGGGATGTTGGTTATATGTCCGCACCACGGTATTCCAGATCAGATGTTGGATGGGTTTGACAGATAGCGTAAAGGCTAATGTTGATGCTTCAGCTGGTGGAGCATTCTTGAGCAAAACATGGAGAGAAAGCCAAAGCCTACTTGACAAGATGGCACAGAATTTGGGGTGGACAACCAGGAATGCACCTATCACTCCAGTAGTTCACTCAGTGCCCTTAGATCCATCCAGCACTCTTGCTGAAAATATGGCCACATTAATGACACAGATGAGTATACCAAAAAGTGGAAGAGTCAGGGCAGAAGCAGCAGGTACACATTGTTGATACTACCAATGAGGCTTATGCACATCTTGCATTAGTCAGCCAATTTGTAACCAATGGAATGCAGAAAGTGATCATCATCATTACCCTAAGGACATGAATTATGTGTCAAATTATGGGGGCCAGAGACAGGGTGATCAGAATTGGGGCCAACAGAATCAGCCATACAGGCCAGTGTAGCCACAACTCAATAATGGAAATATGGGAGGTATGCGACCTCACAATAATATGGTGCCTTACCAAAGGCCATAGGGATACAACAATCAAATTCAGCAGCAGGGTTTTCATCCTCCTCAGCAGCAATATGGTGGGAGACATGAAGATGGGTTTGCTAGACTCGAGGCAATGATGCAGCAGATTATTGGGTCAAATGTAAAAATGAGTGAAAGGGTATATGCACATGATCAGCTATAAAGAATATTGAAGTGTAGATGGGCCAGATTTCGATGTCTTTGAGTAATCGTCCTCATGGGACATTGCCTGCAGACACGTAGGTAAATCCAAAAGATCAAGGCCCGAAGCAGCTAATGGAAGTAAGTCTACGAAATGGCAGAGACTTAGACTTGGAGCAAGAGAGGGCTCGAGAAAGCAGACATGCTAAGACACTTGTATCAGTGCCCATTGAGCTAGATGATTCAACGAAATTGACAAAAGTGACAGTACAACCTGCCCAAGAAGAACCCAACACACAGATTGAGGCTGAGAAAGAAGTTGAGACAGCCCAAAAACCGGTAGTTGAGGTGGTGTCTGACAAAGAGAAAACCCAAATCATTGGAAAGAAGAGACCTCCAACACCATTCCCATAGAGACTGGCTAAATACCAGAACGAGGAACAATACAAGAAATTTTTAAATATGCTGAAACAAATCCAGGTAAATATTCCATTGATTGATGCTTTGAAGGAGATGCCTGGTTATGCAAAAATGATGAAGGACTTGATGTCCCGAAAATTCGATTTCCAAGACTTGGCCACAGTGACTCTAACTAGACCAGTTGCTGAGAAGTTGTCTGACCCAGGGAGTTTCACAATTCCTTGCACCATTGGAAACTTTGCTTTTGCCAAGGCACTTTGTGATTTGGGGGCTAGCATAAATCTTATGCCCCGGGCAATCTATAAGAGGTTGGGGATAGGAAGAGCTAGATCCACATCTATGTTGTTGCAGCTAGCTGACAGGACCGTGAAAAGACCTTCTGGTATCTTGGATGACGTGTTGATTCAGGTAGGGAAATTTGTGTTCCTTGCAGATTTTGTGATTCTGGATTATAAGGTGGATGAAGAAATTCCCATAATTTTGGGAAGGTCGTTCTTGGCCACAGGGAGAGCTCTCATTGATTATGAAACTGGGAGCTCAAGATGAGATTGAACGATGAGGAGATAACATTCAATGTGCAGAAATCTATGAGGCGACCAAGTAAATTAGCCAATTGCTCTCTTATTGATGTCGTGGATGTAATCGTAGAAGCAGATGATGAGACGTTGACTATTGAGGACCCTCTTATTGCTTGTCTTGTAAATTTAGATGAGGTGAATGGGGAAGAATTGGCAGAATGGGTGCTGGCTTTAAAGGGCAGAGGGTTTTGGGATAGAACACTTGAATTCGAGCCCCTGCATTTAGAAAACAGAGAAACTCCTCCAGCCAAACCATCCATAGAAGAACCACCAAAGCTGGAGTTGAAACCACTGCCCGCCCATCTTAGGTATAAGTTCCTAGGACCTAACTCCACATTACTTGTTATTATCTTATCTAGTTTGTTAGATGTGCAGGCATAACAACTTTTGCAGGTACTCAAGGAGTGCAAGACTGCCATTGGGTGGACCATGGCAAATATTAAGGGGATCAGCCCGACATATTGTATGCATAAAATTCTGAGGGGCACAAACCTTCCAGGGAGTACCAAAGAAGGCTGAACTCCAACATGAAGGAAGTGGTGAAGAAAGAGGTGATTAAGTGGTTGGATGCGGTAATCATTTTCCCCATCTCTGATAGTAACTGGGTTAGCCCGGTGCAATGTGTTCCTAGGAAGGGTGGTATGACGGTGGTCAAAAATAATAACAATGAGCGGATCTCTACAAGAACCGTCACGGGCTGGAGAATTTGTATGGACTACATGAAATTAAATTTGGCCACCCGGAAAGACCACTTCCCACTTCCCTTCATTGATCAGATGATTGACAGATTGGTAGGGAGGTCCCACTTCTGTTTTCTGGATTGGTACTCAGGGTACAATCAAATTTCTATTGCACCAGAGGACAGAGAGAAGACCTCTTTCACATGACCATATGGAATTTATGCTTTTCGGAGGATGCCCTTTGGCCTATGCAATGCACCCGCCACTTTCCAAAAGTGCATGATGGCCATATTCAATGACATTGTCGAAGACATAATGAAGGTGTTCATGGATGATTTCTCAGTGGTGGGAAACTCATTCGACGAGTGCCTTATAAATCTGACCCGAGTGTTGAAAAGATGTGTTGAGACTAACCTAGTACTTAATTGGGAAAAGTGTCATTTTATGATACAAGAGGGCATAGTCTTGGGACACCGGGTATCAAGCAAGGGAATTGAGGTGGATCGCGCTAAAGTTGGCGTGATAGCAAAGCTGCGACCCCCCACTTTAGTCAAGGCAATCAGGAGCTTCCTCGGGCATGTCGGTTTCTACCGAAGATTATTAAAAGACTTCACAAAAATTGCCAACCCTCTCTGTAAGTTGTTAGAAAAAAATCACCTTTTTCTTATTCTTTGATGATTGCAGGGTAGCATTCGAGGAGTTGAAAAAGAGGCTAGTCACATCACCCATCATTATTGCCCCCGACTGGGAGCAACCATTTGAACTCATGTGTGACACCAGTAACTATGCAGTGGGGGCAGTGCTGGGACAGCAGAAAGACAAGCTAATGCACCCAATTTACTATGCCAGTAGAATGTTGAGTGGAGCCCAGCTGAACTACACTGTGACTAAAAAGGAGATGCTGGCTGTGGTGTTTGCATTCAACAAGTTCAGATCATACCTTATTGGCTCTAAGGTAATTGTCTATACTGACCATGCAGCTCTCAGGTACTTGATTGAGAAGAAGGAGTCCAAACCGCTCCTGATTCGTTGGGTGCTGTTACTGCAAGAGTTCGACCTTGAGATTCGCGACCGTAAGGGCACAGAAAACCAAGTCGTTGATCATCTATCATGACTTGAAGGAGCTAAAAACTCAGTTAAGGTTGAGGATATTCTAGAAACATTTCCAGACGAGCAGCTACTCGCTACAGGTCTTGAGGAAGTGCCATGGTATGCAGACTTTGTAAATTACCTAGCAAGTGGTATAGTTCCCTATGACCTTTTCTCGATGCAAAAGAAAAAGTTTTATCGTGACTGCCGCATGTATTACTGGGATGAACCTTATCTGTTTAGAATATGTGTTGACAATATGATCTGGAGGTATGTCCCCAGGATAGAATAATCTTCTGTTTTGCAGGCATGTCACGCATCGGCATTTGGCGGGCATTTTGGAGGAGTCAGGACGGCAACGGAAGTGCTAGAAGCCGGGTTCTACTGGCCAACAATGTTTAAGGATGCACATTAATGGGTAATGAATGACAGCAAACCGGAAATATTTCCTGTCGCCATGAGATGCCCATGAACCTAATTCAGGAGGTTGAAGTGTTCGATGTCTGTGGGATAGACTTCATGGGCCCCTTCGTCAGCTCCTTTGGCAATAAGTACATACTTGTTCCTGTACATTACATGTCCAAATGGGTGGAAGCTGCACCACTTTCCACCAATGATGCAAGAGTGGTGGTGGGGTTTTTGAAGAAGAATATACTCACCCATTTTGGGACCCCGAGAGCTATTATCAGTGACGGAGACACTCACTTCTGCAATCGAGCCTTTGAGAAATTGCTAGCAAAGTACGATGTGCGCTACAAGGTGGCAACACCATATCATCCTCAGACTAGTGGGCAGGTCGAAATGTCTAATAGAGAAACAAAGAGTTTACTGACCAAGACTATGAATGCCACAAGAACTGATTGGGCGAAAAAGCTAGATGATGCACTCTGAGCCTACAGAACTGCTTTCAAAACACCAATTGGTATGTCATCATACAAGTTGGTGTTCGGGAAGGCCTGTCACTTGCTAGTGGAATTAGAACATAGAGCTTGGTGGACAATAAAACAGCAGAATCTGGACATTGAGGCTGCGGGCACAACTAGAGTCACAAAATTGCATGAGCTCGACGAGTTCTGATATTTTGCTTTCGAGAGCACGAGGATGTATAAGGAGAGAATGAAGCGGTTGCATGACAAGAACATTGTTGAGCGAAATTTCAATCCCAGATACATGGTGTTGCTTTATTACTCAAGATTAAGGCTATTTCTAGGTAAACTCAAGTCACAATGGTCTGGACCATTTCGAGTGGTCAAAGTATTCCCTTCAGGTGCCCTAGAGATTGCCTCAGAGAAAGACTCTCATACATTTAGAGTCAATGGGCAAAGATTGAAACCATATGTGGGCATGGATGAATCAAAGGAAGTGTTAGTGATCCATCTGACTGAACCTCAGAGGTCGAGCAAGCCTTAAATGCGCTTATATGCGTCGTGTTACGACGTTAAATCAGGCGCTGCATGGGAGGCAACCCATTGATTTGTTGAAACTATCATGCCACGATATTAACTAAGGCGCTGGTTGGGAGGCAACCCAATGATAGTTCGTAGTTGTTAATTTTGAATTTGGTAAGTACTAACCAATACAGGTGAGCTTGGACAGGTGATAAGTGCATCGGACGTGGAAAGAACAGGTGAAAAAATGGAAAGTTTTTGTGCCTAGGAGCGCGCCCGCGTTACCACCGCGCTACAGGCCGCGCATATGGGTAAACATTCTGCCTCAGCATCTCAACCACTAGCACGACTGCGCTTTGACCGCGCTAGTGACCATGGTAGAAGCGCGACCGCACTAGTGGCTGTGCATATGGCCAAGTACACTGTCTGCACTTGCGCGGCCGCGCTCGTACCGCGCTAGTCCCGCCAACTGATGCTTTATTTAACTTNCTAATTACTCCCCTCTTCTTTACTCCCAAAATCCCCAACGCTCAAATTCCCCAACCCTAACCCCTTTCTTCTTCACATTCCATCTTCTTCAAATTCCCTCTTCTCCAAATTCCCAACCCAAATTCCCCAAGGTTCAAGCGACGCTCCACTCTACTCTTCTTCACTTCTCACCATCTTTTCTCACTACAGGTAAGGTTTTCTTTTTACCATTGTTTTTGTAATTGTTTAGAGAGGTTTTTGTTTATTTTGTTTCATTATGTAGTGGTTTTTGTTCTTCTCTTTTCCTAGTGTAGTAAATTGTAGTGTTTGTGTAGTGTTTGTGTAGTGATTGTGGGTGGTAACGTTGGTGGAGTTGTATCTTAACTTAGTGGGTGAATTTGGGGAAATTGTGGTGGTATTGGGGTGCAACATGTTTGAATTGGGGTGTGAGTATATAATGCCCACAAGGTATTTGTTTAAATGCCACAATGAGTGTAAATGAGTAATTGTGACCAATTGTGAGCGTGAGTCTCAGTAACCGCATTGAGTCACATTTTTTTGGGCTGTGCTAATGTTATTCCTTTTCTTGGTACTATGGCTTTATCTAGGAAACGTCGCACCACATGTGCTTCTTCCAGCAGTCAAGCTGGATCGTCCAAGGTGCACGGGTCGGCTCATGCTCGTCCCTTTGATAGTAGCAGGTTCGTCTCTGCCAAGACTCAGGACCGCTTTGCGGATAAGGCCCCTAAGAAATCGATACCGGAAAGGGGCATAGATATAGGGTCGGTCCAGCTAGGCTGCCCTAACTTGTATAATGAGCTGGTAAGGTAGGGGCTTTAAATCTTCCTTGAAGAGCCGGACGAGGGGAATGTGATGGTTGTCCATGAATTCTATGCCAATGTAAAGGAACATGTGAATGGCGCAGTAACAGTGTGCAGAAAGGCGGTGGATGCCTCTGTTGAGGCTATACGGAGGATATACCAGCTGTCTGCTCCTGTGGACCCATATGAAGACTATTATGAGATGTATGGCAGATCACACACGCAGTGGGAGAGGTTCTTTGCAACAATCTGTGCACTCGGCAAGGAAATTATATGGATGAAGTATGGTCAGGAGTTTCACTCCGCGACGCTAACCTTTGAAGGGAAGTACTGGTTATATGTTATCAACAACCGCCTGATCCCGTCTTCCAACACCACAGAGGTGAATGGTCCTCGAGCAGCTCTGATATGGTGCTTTATGAATGGTCACAACTTTGACTTGGCCAAGCTGATTCATGAGGAGATGTTCACCCGTTGTCCGGTGAAAAGGTATGTGTTCTTTTTCCCTTCCTTGGTTACTAGACTATGTCGGGCAGTTCGTGTGCCGAAATATTTAGCTGTGGATGAGATAGTGCGAAAAGACTCCAAGTTCCGAGCAGATAAGGTAACTACTGGGAAGGAGCCGGTAACAGCGGGTGGTGATGATAGTGGTGAATCTGATGACTCTAAGGAAGAGGAGGCTGAGCAGGAGGATGTGAGGGCCGAATCACTGAGTGTCTTGATAAGCCAATCTAGAGTGAGTCATGTGTCATGTGTGTGTGAGTTGTACTGTATTCTATGCTCTACATTTGATTTCTAGAACTTGCCCCGTGTGTTTGCAAAGAGAAATTGTAGCTTTATTCAGTCTTAGAAGTGATATAGGCATTTCTTTGTTAAGCCAGATATATAAAGTAGACCCACCTAAATGCAATACATCGTAGTTAACCCCGTTGAGCCTATAAGCCTGTTTCTTTGGCAATCACATTACAAACTTTACCCAATTGTTTGAACGACCCATCTGTTTGAATCCTTTTATTTCCCATGGGCACTTGAATGGTTATGAAATATGCAAACGCTAAAGTGTGGGGTGGTGGTTTGGTTTTTGAGTGGAACCGATGAAATAGAGAAAAAGGTGCAGTATTTGATAAAGTAAAAGAATAAACATCACTTAAAAAGAAAAAGAAAAAAAAAAGAAAAAGAAAAAAGAGAATGAGTAAATGTAGTATTGGATAAGTGGTGACTTGAGATAATTACACCTAATGGAGTTGGGGTATTATAAAGAGAAGTGTGGTGAAATGTCTGGTTTGACATAAGTATGGTTTTGAATGCTAATGTGATTGTAATAAAAGTGCTTAGGGAGGTTAGTCACTATATCCAAATATATGCTACCCGTCCCTTAGCCTACATTACAACCAAATGAAGTTCTAATTGATCTTAGACTGAATGAGCTCGATTAGTAGAGTAGTACACTACGGGTAAGCCTATGGTGCATCTGTGTGGCATATGAATTTTATTTCGGAGAGTGAGTGGATTTTGTCTATCTAAGTTCCTAATTGTTCTTAATATTATTATTTGTGGAACTACTCTCTTGTGTGATGTGAGGGCATATGATTCACGAAGGGAAGGTAAGTCTTGACCTCCATATAGAGTAATTTGAGTAAGTACGAATATTGCACGGCACGTGAGAGTCAACTTTTGAGGCAAAGATTGTACACTACTAGACATATCTTTGGTGATTTGTTCTTGGTGTGATACGTTAGGGGAAAAGCTTAGTAAAGGAAACTTTATAGAGTGTGGTGGATTGCTCGAGGACTAGAAATGATTTAAGTGTGTGGAGTTGATACTAGGCTAGATTCATGTAATTTGGCGAATGTTTATGCCCTAACTTGACTATGCTTCACTGTTCTAGGATAGTTAAATCACGATAAATTGACACTAATTGTGAGTTTCATGTTTTGCACGAGCGAGTTGCGCTTATGACTACTTAGGACAGTGTTTGGAGCTAAATTGAAGCAAGGGAAGCCCCTCAGAGCTGAGTATTGTGAAAGAAGAGAGAAAAGAAGAGCTAAAATGATGACCCAGCTTAGCGCGACCATTAGCGCGTCCACTAGCGCGACCGCACTAGCCCAGGAACTCGAGACAGAATACTATGCTATATGCGTGGCCATTAGCGTGGCCGCGCTAGTCTAGTTCGGATTATATAATTTCAGGGGTAAACTTGGAAGTTCGGGGGTAATTCCACTTAACCTATAAGAGGTCCAGCTGGCCCAAAGGAACATTATCAAGGTTTTTACAGCTTAGTTGAAGGCAATGAGGATAATTCGACATCGAGTTCTTCCTTTCTTCCTTTTATATTTACCATTTATGATGAATTTTGTTGTTGTTAGTATGAATACGATTATGAGTAGCTAAATATTTAGTCTAGGGTTTTGATAGAACCTGTTGAAGGATGAACTTCGTGTTATGTTAATATAGTTTGCTCGGTTTAATCTCTATTTGTTCAACTACGTTCTTGTTGTAGTTAATTGATAGGATTCTCAATTAGCTGTGCCTATTTAGTATGTATTACTCGGGAGAGAGTGCATATTTAGGTAATTGTTGAACTACACCACTCTCAAAGTATATGAGGGATCAATAACCGAGGGTTTAAAGGTGGGATTAGGGATAACGAAACCTTGGGTGCGATCGAAAGTGAGGTGTAATAAAAGTCAGCTAGCGTAACTCGGGAGAGTGCGTCTAGTAAATTGTCGTTATTACTCGGGAGAGATTTACGGTAGTAAGAGTGCTCATGATCGATAGAGACGATTAGGCAATTTTATGCGAAACATAACAGGAAGGGATTCCATCAATAGGGGAAATCATAATCTTAGATCCTTCTCTTATTTGCTTACAACTCAATCATAGTTAGCTGTTAGTTTACTTAACTTCATTCAGCTATAGTTAGTTAAAACATCACAACTTGTTATTAAAATATATGAGAAGTTGATTACGAAGAATTTAGTGAGTCTAACAAAAGTAATTGGTAGGTTAATTCCCTGAGGAATCGACTCTAGGCTAAATACTCGGATTATATTTGCAACGTCCGCTTTATTCTTTTTATAAGGCATAGTTGGGCGTGATCACCGACACTCTGTCTAAAATCTGGAGTGTTACAGCGCCCTAGTCACATTGTGAGCTTGCATATAGCATGGAAAAAAAATCCTCTATTGCGAAATATTGAAGAACTTGTTTGAAATTTATTCCTAGTGAAATCACGTACAAGTCTTCAGTTTTTTTCTTTTTCCAAATCAAATCTTTGTCCTTATACGATATCAACTTTCAAATACTCGATTTCTACTTCTACTTCAAATACATAATTTTGAATTTTAGTTAAAACTGACCAAACTTCTACAAAATAGTAGTACACTACCCGGCATTAGTAAATTGCAAATTGTGACCATTCTGCGTGTCCTTATTAAGTTTCTTTGTTCCGTAAGGCATAGACCAGTTAAATTCATTTTTCATAAGAAAAAAAATATATATTTTTCCTTTCTATTAGAGAATTCAAATTAGGGCTATATGTTACATTCCTGATAAGTAGATAATATAGAAGTGGATTTGTCATCGCACCAAAGTTAAGTACCAACTTCGAGCTGGCTTAACTATTTCCAAAATTTTCAAGATATTGCATGCAATTTTGCATGTAATATTCCACGGAGACAGATTTTCTAGTGAGAATGATTTGGCCGATACACTAGCAAAAAGGGAAGAATGTGGGAGAGATGACCATTTTGATTGAAGTAATGATGAGGAACTCCACCTAACACAACGGGCANAGTAATGATGAGTAACTCCACCTAACACAACGGGCAACTAGCAATTTGCCTAAAGTGCATGGCCTAACAAAAGAAAAGTGTTTCTTTGCTATGCCCCAGCAAAGATAGCTTTCTTTCATTTTCATCTCCATTTCGCTGTTGAAACAGATGGGTAATGGAATGTGGGTAGGAGCCTCTATTCTTAGCTCTGTCTGCTTTGAATTGACCTTATCAAGTAACCCTTTTCTGGGTAATGTGGTTTACCCGTATATAAAGGGTTCCCATATCCTTTATTACTTAAGACCCTTTATACTCTCCAGAATTGAGACAACAGTGTAATATTACTACTTTTGGCTGTTCTAATTATTACAAATGACAAATTATGGTTTAGTTTGGTCTTAAAATGAAAGGATTTAAGAATTAAACTACTCCAGTATATTGGTGGCATATATGGCGTGGGAGAGTTCAGGGCGAGACAACCTAGAAGGTCACATTGTAATTTGGTTTGAATATAACTGGATATAATTACATAGTTTGACTAATGTGTGGAATGGGTGAGTAATTACACTTTCTAATTTTAAAGTGGAAGGGAGCAATTATATTTGTCACACGCTAAAACTTATTTATATGGTCATAAGAAATAAATGCACAATCCGGCGCATGGATAACAACCACATATTACTTCCCAAACCCTTTCATAACAAGGAAGAATAGGGAAGAAATAAAGTTATCGACTACTATTACACCTTAAAAACCTTGGGATTCAACTTGAATCTAGTCGAAAAGAACAGATCTCTTGCCCAAAGAGGGGACCATGAAAGCAAAGAAAAAAGTCCAGTCATATGACCAAATTCAATCACCTTTGGTGGTTTTGGAATCAAGACCTTTGTTGCTACATGTCTTGCAAAAACTGACGCATCAGTCGATTTACCCCCTTGAGAGGCCTTTGCACGCTCAATTATGGCTTCTTTAAAATCCTTGTAAAGTTTCCACTCATAGTTTTGCAATCTTTCCACACTATTGTTCCCAAAACTTGATCTTATAGCCCCCGGGACCACGATAATTACATTTATATTAAACGGGCTTAACTCAACCCTTAAAGTGTGCGACATAGAAAAAATTGCAGCCTTGCTAGCACAATATGATCCCGCCCAAGGTGTTGGCACTTTCCCAACAACACTCCCTACGTTCACTATACTTCCACTTCGTCGCGATGCCATGTGAGGGACTACTTGTTGAATCAACCTTAGTTGCCCCAACGTGTTAATTTCATAAGTTTTTTTGAATGCATCCAAAGGAAGCTCGGCTAAAGGGCCTGTGCTGCCTATTCCAGCATTGTTGATCAAGATATCTATTTTCCCACATTGGGATATAATTGAATTCACGGCGGATGCTACGCTTGTGTCCGATGCAACATCGAGCTCAAGTGTCTCAATTTTATCTGCTTGTAGATCTAACATATCAGACATTCGTGGAGCTATGTCTGATGCAAAAACATGGCAATTCTGCTCAGCAAAAGCCTTGCAATATTCATAACCAATGCCACCCTTGGCGCAGCCAGTGACTAGAACAACCTTTTGGTCACGCATATTATTTCGTTGGTTTAACTCATTTTCTCTAGCAAATTTTATAAGATGTATTGAACATGAATCTTTCCAAGTTTTCTCCGCCAATACATTTATTAGTATTTGGAAATCTTGGGATGACCAAGCCTTAAAGAATATGCTAAGGCATATGCATCAAGATTTAAAGAACGGCCGGCCTTGCAGTGGATTACTTGATTAAGAGCGTTTTCAAATTCATGGAAGATATCAATTTAATTGGCAAAACGTAATGCGCATGTTTTTTTGGTTACAAACTCACAATGCAAACTGAGCTTGTAGACAATAAGAACGATACAAGGTTAGTACAAAATAATTGATGTTGAAATTCAACGTGAATAACGTGCATTTTCATAGCAAGAAGGATAAACCAGGACTACATGTTTTAGATTCTTTCAAAAAACAAAACAAAAAAAAATAGTAGAAAAAGAATATAATCGAAGAGGAAAAGTTACTAAAAATAAAAAATAAAAATATAGTCTCTTCTAAAACTTTTCAACGTCAACTAAATTCATATCCGTGCAAAGAAAAGAAAGATTGTTATAAATAGAATTATATTTAAGGTGAATGTTTATATTCTAGAGAGATTCTAGGGTTATTGCTTGGTGGCTAAGCCAATCTCTCCCTATAAATAGAGGGTTCTATTCCATTGTAATTCATCTCATATCAATAAGAATTCTCTTCTCTCTACTTTTCTCTGCAATACTCTTCTTCTTTTATTGTTTCATAATACGTTATCAGCACGAGACTCTAACCAATTGAGTAGAAGATTTGGGATTGAGCATAATGATTGTCAATTATTCTATGAATTTCCTTCATGATTAAATTCTGGATTTAAGGTAAGTATTTTACTTTTCTCTTTCAAATTCTTGACATTCTATAATTTGATTTTAAATACAAGCAAAGACGATGAATTTTGATTGCAACTCTAATGGAGTTTGAAAGATATTATAATCACTCAAAGTGGTAAAATTTCTATGCCTTACCATGATCAAATTCATATATGATTGTGTGCAAAGAATTGAAAATCCGTCCCATTGAATTTGCTCCATTCTCATTCCCTTTAGAGAATGTGATAGTAGTATGTGATAAGTCTGAAAGAAGACAAAATTATTACTATGAATGTATCAATGGATGTGGACGTGGCAATAGACGAAATTATAATCGTCATCATTGTGGTAATGAGAACAATAAGAATTCTCAAAATAATCCTTCACTTTGTGAAAATAATATTTGTCATCGATTTGACATGAGATTTTGTAAAACACATATAGATAATTATGGTTCATTCATGATGTGAATGTGACAACATGTGATTTATGAATACATATTCATTATTGGAAGAATATGAACGTGCTAGTGGTAGTGAATATACCACACTCACCTCTAGAGGAAGGTTTGAGATGAAATAAGAAAATAATGTCATCATTATGACATGAATGATCACTGGTCATGTACCTATTGTACGCAAAATAATCTGGTAATGTGACTATTAAAGGATAACAGTGATGCAAGGAACAGATCTTGCATATAATTTTAACAATTACCATAATGGTATAACATCCTTCTTCAAAGAAATATTTACCATATGGATGTTTATGAATATGTGGTACTACAAAATTAAT